CACTAAAAATACAAAAGCAATCAGCCAGGGGGAATGGCGCATAACTGTAGTTCCAGCTACTTGGGAGGCTGAACCTGGGAGCCAGAAGTTGCAGTGAGCCGAGATCATGCCACTGCACTCCAGCCTGGGCAACGGAACGAGACTCCATCTCAAAAATAAAAATAAAATAAAAGGGAAAAAATGAAGGTGCCAGCTTCGCAGGTACCAACAATATGGGATGTCACTTCTATTGGGAGTGATGTGGAAGAAAACAGGTTCAGAGACGCTAAGTGACTGGCCCAAGGTCACACAGCCTGCAAACACCAGCTGGGAGTGGAAGGGATGGGAGCTGAGAAGGAAAGAGAAGTCTCAGAGTGAGGATCAGGGAAACGCCAGGAGCGGGGAAGGAGGTGGAAAGCGAAGGGCTTGGGGGCCAGCAAGGGAGAGATTCCCAGCCAGGCCCAAAATGGCAAGTGGCAGCTGGCACCCAGAGGAGCAGGAAGTTCCACAGAATTAATGGGTGGCTGATCTCTGCGGCACCTCCTGATGCCAATATTTTCTGTTTCAAGAATGCCACCCTCCACCATTGAGTCCAGTTTCTACAACTCCTGGGCCTATCAGGGCCCCATGGAGCTTTCGGAGGACCCCAGCTTCATATTTTCTAGGAACCCTGACACTTGAACTTTTACGTTTCTTCTGGTGAAGATTGTCCTTCCTGCCGCAATGACACAGTGACAGGATGGAGCAGAGTCTGTGTCCAGCCAGGTGCCGGCAGCCTGTCGGTCCTGGAAATTAGTGTCGGCGTCAATCCTATAATTTTCCCCTGAGGAGTACAATTATGCCTCGTTGTTCTTCTGTGCAAGCTAAAAGTATTAATTTACTCAATGTACACATTAAGTGTCCCACAAGTTTTATAACTCTGTTTTGGTGTTTTCATTTTCTGAAATACAGGGAATTCCAGAAAACTACATCTGAGAGCCAGCAGAGTCCCTCCTCCCTGTGCCCCTCCAAGTCTACCACCCTCTGATCCCGAGTTCGTCTGGCGTTGCTGCTTTTGCAGGGGTGGGGAAGGCTTGGGGGTAAGTACAGGAGAATGTCCCCATAAGGCCAGCCTTCCGCATCCCGAAGAATAAAGGTTCTTTCTGGCCTCCAGCCTGGGGCTCTGGATCTGGCCTCTGGGCAGTCGAGGAAGGCCGTGCAGGGCGGCAGATGTATCACCCACATTGACCATGCCAGTCTTTACTGGCATGAGCCACCTGAAGTCCTCAGGCAAGGACAAGGACAACCAGGGCAGTCTAGCCAGATCCAGGGAGTGAGGGTGGCGAGCTAACCCACTGGGGCGTGGGGGTCAGGGTGGTAAGCTAGCCTGCTGGGATGTGGGGGGTCAGGGTAGTGGGCTAGCCTGCTGGGGCATAGGGGAGCCAGGGTGGTAAGCTAGCCCACTGGGGTGTGGGGGTCAGGGTGTTGAGCTATCCCACTGGGCTTGGGGGTGGACAGGGTGGTGAGCTACCCCACTGGGGTGTGGGGCATCAGGGTAGTGAGCTAGCCCGCTGGGGTGTAGGGTTGGGACCTTCAGCACATGCTGAGTGGAAAATTCCTAAGGGTTTCCTAGGCCGGGACATTCTGGGGCACACAATTACCCCAAACACAAATGTTTCTCCAAATAACCAGTCCACGCAGCCCCTGGGGGAATGAATCACTTCCTGTGACATCATCCCTTCACACCCATCTCCTGGGGGGCTCAGCCTTCCAGCAGCTCAGGTGACTGGCAACACCTCCTCTTCTGGGGGCTTCCCCCATCCCACCAGTAAGGCCAACTCGAAACCCCTGACTTCGCCTTAGCTAGAGCCAGGCACTGGGTGAAGGGGTTGGGGAGGCCCCAAGTTCTGTACCTGTCATCAAATGTAGCCCCTTCCCCCTGGCCAGCCCAGCTGCAGAGTGAGCTTTAGGCTCCTCTTAAATACTTTCCAAGGTTGACGATTCCATGCCCCTCCTTCCCTGCCCATCACAGGCCTGGCCGCCAGGAAGCTCTTCCTTATTGCTGCAGAATAAACTTCTGTGTCCTAGATGGGAGGCTTTCAGCAGCTGTGACTGTAGTCACCACCAACACTCAGGTGAAGCTTCCCGAAGGGCGCTTGGATGGAGGCGCCCTGGGTGCTCACTCAGGATCCCACAGCAGCCGCTGCCTCCCAGAGCCAATCAGAGCACAACAGCTATGCATAGCCCAGGGAACCTTCCGGTGCCCCTCAGCTGTGCCAGGGCCTGCACTTCAGGAGGCTAAAGAGCTTTACAGACACCCTCTGCTCCCAGCACACGCAGTCTGAGCTGTTCTCGTCTCCTCCCACCCTCTCAGGTGTGAGTAAAAGGATAGATGCTGGAGAAAAGGGGGCCCGCAGAGCTGCCAGGGCTGGGCACACTGCCAGGGCACACACTGGGCACACTGCCAGGGCACCCACGGCGCGAGGGGTCTTCTACATGCAGGGCTTCATTCATCTTCCCCTGAACCCATTATACTTGGTGTTACTGTTTCTTCATTTTCAGATGTGGAAACTGAGGCTCAGAGAAGTGCAGCAGCTTGCTCAGGGTCACACAGCATGCATGGAGCCAGCCTGAGAACAGAATGTATTCATCTCCAGGGTCTGGGCACCTCATCTCCACAGTGAACTGCAGACGGGACTTGGCTTCTCTCACGGGGGCTCAGATGAAGAAATAAAAGCAAGAGAGGACAAATAACTTGGCCCACGTCGGGCAAGAAGTCGGTGGCAGAGCTAAGGCCAGGTCTCCTGGCTCCCCATGAAATACTTCTGGCCTTAGTCGGCCAGAGGTAAAGCCAGAGGTTCTGGAATTGCCTAGAAACAGCCATGCCCTCAGATGAGAGCAGAAGCCTGAAATAAGAAGAAGGGGCCCTGCCAGGGACCCTTTTCCTACTCTTGGTGTGGATGTAGATTTCCAGATACGGTGTGGGATATCTAGTTAGATTTCAGCTTCAGCAGTCAGGCACAGTGGCTCACACCTGTCATCCCAGCACTTTGGGAGGCCGAGGCAGGTAGATCGCGAGGTCAGGAATTCAAGACCAGCCTGGCCAAGATGGTGAAACCTTGTCTCTACTAAAAATACAATAATTAGCCAAGGGTGGTGATGGGCGCCTATAATCCGAGCTACTTAGGAGGCTGAGGCCAAGAATTGCTTGAACCAGGGAGGCGGAGGTTGCAATGAGCTGAGATTGCACCACTGCACTCCAGCCTGGGTGACAGAGCAAGGCTCCATCTCAAAAAAAAAAAAAAAAAAAAAAAAAAAAAAAAAAAAAAAAAAAAAAAAAAAAAGATTTCAGCTTCAGGTAAACAGCAGATTTTTTAGTAGAAATATCTCCCATGCAATATACTAAAAATACTTTTTGTTATTTATCTGAAATTCAGACTTAACTAGGCATCCTGTATTTTTATTTGCTAAATCCAGGAAGCCTATGTGAACAGGGCGGGAGACAATGGGGTCTCCACTGGCCACCGAGACCCAAGAGAAGCAGCCCCCATGCCAGGACTCGAAGCAGCAACTTAGAGACAAGGATTGGTTTCCATGGCTCCTGGCTCTCCTCCCTAGCCCTGCCACTGGAGTCACAGACCACTGCCCAACGGAGGAGCAGGAAGGGCTTCTCGGGCAGAGATCACCGGAGCCAGGTGGACAGCTGGGCCCCGCATCCATTACCCAGACCAGCAGGTACAGGGGCTGAGTCCTAAGAGGGAGGTAGGAGCTCAGTTCCCACCTGGTAACAGGCCCCCAGGTCCCGGCTCCTCTTTGAAGGGGACTCCTAGCACGAGCCCCCTATCTGCAAGGGGTTCAGCCCCCACCTGGTCCAGCAGCGATGGAATCCATAGACAGCCTATCAGAGTTGGAAATGCTGCCAGAGATCACCAAATCGAACTCCCTTAGGATTTGGGGGAAACTAAGGAACACTAAGGCTGAGAGTCCCTGGGTCCCCATCCGGTCAGAGCCAGCACAGGGAAGATTTGGGACAACAGGAGAAGCAAATGCTACTGCTGCCCCTTCAGCTGTCATCATTGCCACCACCACCGCCATCATCGCCGTCACCACTGTCCACCACAATAATCAGTGTCATCGTCATCATCTCACAGCAAACAAGTCCCGGCTTTCTTGCTCCGAATTCTCTCCTCATGCTAATTCACTGAGTATTTCCTAACCACTCCCTCCTGATTCAAATCAATTAGTTACCCCGGCTGATCTTTAAGGATTATACATGCATCCCTTCACCTCAGAGAGATGGGGGCTTGGCAAGAAATTGAGGGAGGGGAGGACCAGTTCTCTTCCCCGTCCTGAGCAATCTGATACTCCACACAAGTTCCACCTGGGTGTCCGAACGCAGGGCCCAGACCCCAAAGCCTGACCCCAGGGCTCAGAGTTAGAATCCTAAGGCCAGACTCTTATCCAGGGGCTTGAGGCCAATGTCCTGAGCCTAGCACCCACAACCCAGGGGTAACTGGTAAGCGATTCTCCTGCCTCAGTCTGTGAACGTCCACGAGTGTCGTGATTCCCACCACACACACGGCATGGGTAGGCATGGACCTGAGGGGCGGAGGTTGCAGTGAGCCGATATCGTGCCGCTGCTTTCCAGCCTGGCCAACAGTTAAATGAGAATGTTCTTTGAGATGGGGGAAAGAGAAAGGGGGGCAAGGAAGGAATAGCAGAAGGTGGGCGGAGAGGAGAAGAGGTTCGGCATCAGTGCATCTCTATTTTACGGCGAAAGAAACTGAGGCACAGAGAAGTTGGGGACCTTGACTCTTACCCAGGGGCTTGAGGCCAATGTCCTGAGCCCAGCTGGAGCCCCAAGCAGGACCTGATCAGACCCCTAGTCTTTCCTCCCAGGCTCCATAGCCAGCTCCACCTTCTCTGCCGTGTCCTGCCTGCATCCTCTCCAACGTGCCTGACTTGTCCACCAGGCACCCACCCCATTTCCCTGCATTCTAACCCAGCTCTCTGCAGCCAGGTGAGTGCCTCCCAGCTCCTACCTGTGAATGTCCACAAGTGTCACGACTCCCACCACACACACGGCATGGGTAGGTGTCTTCAGGGACAGCCGCACAGCTCTCTTTGGGGTCATGCTGTCCCCCAGCTCCCAGCCTCCTAGATCAGCTCTGGGTCCCCAGCTCCTGTCTTGGACACCTCTTCGCCAGGACGAAGTATGAGTTCTGATGGGTTGGTGCCTCTTCCTCTCTTTTAATTTCACCCTGTGACCTGATTAGCCTGCCTGAACATGGTCCCCACCTCCTGGCTCCACACCCTCCTCACTCGGCTGTCAATCCAGGAGGTCAGGGGAGGAGGTGCCCGAGGCCATCTGGGAGATGGGGAAGGGGAGCTTCAGCTGAGGCCCTGGGTGGAGCAGGGCTCAGCTGCGGACAGGAGGCCCTGCAGAGCTCCCCAGCAGCCCCTGCCCCCGCCCCAAAGACTCCTGGTGCCGGAACCCCTATGGCAATGATGTCAGCGTTTCTGAGGCCTGACTGTGTGGGCTCTGCCTCTCACCACCTGGAATCCTTATCGAATCTTTTAACCTCTCTGTGACTCAGCTGCCTCATGTGTAAGTTGGCAGCTGTCACAGTAGTACCTGTCCCTTGTCTTGATGTGGGAAAGACGTGAGTTATGTGTAAGATTAGCACAGATCCATCCTGGTACCTGGTATCCACTAAAATGCTCACAATGATGACTTGTATCCTCATTTTGCAGGTAAGAGAATCATGACTGCAGGTCTCACTGCAGTGAGTGGTAGAGTCGTAATGTACCCACAGGTTCACCTGGCTCACCACACAATACCACCCCCCAACAGGTGAGGGTAGGCCCTTGTGCCCAGACTCCACAGACAGCAGAAGCTGCCCCAGGCAAGCATTCTTGGGGAGCCAGGGGGGAGGGAACTTGAAAAAGAGCTCAGAGCCATAAGCTGGGAATATGGATTCATTTCTGAAAAATCCTCCTCCTTCAGCACAGCAAGCTTCAGCCTGTTCTGAGGCTCTTTGTAGAACTTCATTCATTCATTTGCCAATTTTTGTTAATCATCTTTTATGTGCTAGGCACTCACTTAGGTGATGTGGATACAACCATGAACAAAAGAGGTCACGATTCCTGCTCTGATGACATTCCTGCCCTGATGATACGTTCTGGGGGAGACCGTAGGTGAAGTTAAATGAGTAAAGTGCATATGACATTAGATGGTGCACTGAGGTTCTTTCCATCATCCAAGCAAGCGATGGCGTGGCTTGGCCCCAGGGTAGCAGGGAAGGTGGTGGGAAGGGGTTGGATCCTGAATGTATCTTCAAGGTAGAGCCGATGAGGTTTGCTGATGAGTTGGGTGTAGGTGAGAGGGAGAGTGGTCAAGGATGACCGGAGTGTTTGGGGCCTGAGCAACTAGAAGGATGGAGCTGTCATCAGAGAGACGGGAAGGGCTGCAGGAGGGCAAGCTGGGCAGGGGCTTGGCCATTCTGCGTTGGACTGGTTCAACATGAGGTGTCTGTTAGATCTTGGAGCAGAGTTGGCGAATTGCAGGTGACATGTTCCCTTCACATCAGGCATCAGGGTGATGAGAAGAGGCATTCCCTCTGGAATCACAGGACACCCCTCCTCAGCCATGTGGTCCTCTCCTTCCAGGGAGCTCTCATACAGAGTGGGAAAAAGGGCACACAAACCAGAACTCCCGTGTCCACAGGGCTGGGGTGGGAGGGCAGCAAAGAGCGAGAGAGTGAGACAGTGAGAGAATGAGAGAGAGAGAGACAGAGAGAGGGAGAAGAAACAGTCTTGCCTGGGGAGCTGCCAGTCTGATGGAAAATGTGGGGAACACACAGTCCCTGCCTCCAGGAACCCCCAGTCTGATTAGGGAGACAGGAAATGCTAAAATGGCATAAACATTTACTTGGTTACTTTTGATTCTGAAGATCATTTTGAAATAATCTTTCTTATTGCAAATATTATTGATCTGCAAAGTTCATTACACCTAAAGACACCAAGAGAAAGTCTAAGTTTCCCCCACGGATACAGAACCCAGGAAAACAGATGTTCAGAGGTGGTTTTCCATCACCCAAACCCCAGTTTACCCGGACCTCAGTCATTTTGTTTAACAGTAATTATTGACATAAGCGTGTCCATTTCACATGGAATGGAATGCGGAGTGCAAAAGCAGCTTCCTGCAGAGCACATGGGTGTGTTCCCATTAGAGAAGATTAAATGGATGGATGGACGGATGGATGGGTGGATGGACGGATGGGTGGGTGGATGGACGGATGGGTGGGTGGGTGGATGGACAGACAGATGGATAGGTGAACTGATAGGAAAAAGGGAGGAAGGAAGAAAGGCAGGCTGGTGTATAAAGAGCTGAATATGATGATGATGATGGGGACGGTGAGGATGGGGATGACGACACCATAATGACAGTGCAAACACATATATGGCACTCACCATGTGCCAGGCACTGTTTTAAGACGTTTCCATGTATTCATTTATCTAATCCTCACAATAATACTGGGTGGCATGTGTCAGTCAAGCCTGGAATCCCAAGTTCAAACAGACCACATGGACGTGCAGGATGTTCCTTGGCCAGCTGTTGGCAGGGCAAGGGCCCAGGCAGGTCATGGTGTCTTAAAAGAATGTTCTTTGGGCCGGATGTGGTGGCTTATGCCTGTAATCCCAGCACTCTGAGAGGCTGAGGCAGGCAGATCATGAGGTCAAAAGTTCGAGACCAGCCTGGCCAACATGGTGAAACTCTGTCTCTACTAAGAATATAAAAATTAGCTGGGCGTGGTGGCGCATGCCTGTAATCCCAGCTACTCCGGAGGCTGAGGCAGGAGAATTGCTTAGACCCGGGAAGGGGAGGTTGCCGTGAGCCAAGATCACACCACTGCACTCCAGCCTGGGCAAAAGAGCAAGACTCCACCTCGAAAAAAAAAGAATGCTCTTTGAGATGGAGCAAAGAGAAAGGGGGGCAAGGAGGGAATAGCAGAGGGTGGGCAGAGAGGAGGCGAGGAGGATCGGGGCATCTCTAAATGACAGTAAAAGAAACTGAGGCACAGACAAGTTGGGGACCCTTCCATGTCCACAGTTGGAAGTTGGTCCCATCAGGACTTAAGCCCAGGGCATCTGACCCTGGGGGGCTGATGGTTGACTAGATCACTGGAAGGCAGAATATCAGGTCGTTTCTTCCTCGTGCTTTTATGTATTGTCTGAATCATTTTCATGAGCAAACAACAGTTTTACGTTGAAAAAAACAATGAACCCACCCTTATTATTCTCTCTTCAAGGAAAAATAAGATGCGTTTCCTCCTTTTGGCTTCCCTGCCCACCCTCTGCTATTCCTTCCCTGCCTCTCTTTTTCATTCTTCCAGCTCAAACAACATTCTTTTAAGACACCATGACCTGCCTGGGCCCCTGCCCTGCCTACAGCCCACAAACAGCACATCCTGCACACCCATGCTGTGGTCTCTTGGTCGGTAAGACTGGGGAGGAGCAGGGGTGGGAGACCTCCGTGACATCACTGCCTCCTTCCCCTCTGGAGGAGGACATAAACCTGGGAGGCCAGCCCCACTTAACCTGAAACAGGCCCCATGCAGGGTAGAGGCCTGCCAGCTGCGAGGGATCATGGGACTATAAGATGACCCCAGGAAGTCCCTGGAACAACCCAAGAAATTCGCTACAGGGAAGGTATCTGGTGTCGGGGCTATGATGACCAGGCTCTCATTTTTCCCTCTTCTTCAACAATTTTTTTGAGTGCCTAAAATGTGCCAGACGTTATCCTTGGCCCTGGAAATACCACAGTGAATAAGACAGACCAAGCCCCAGCCCTCATGGGGCATCCAGAAGGACAGGCAGGTAAGAAGCCGGTGGGATAGAAACTGATGTGAGGAAGTGATTCGGACAAATAACACAGAGGAGAGGAGGGGATGGGATGCTGCTTTCAGCGGAGTGATCAGAGAAGGCCAATCTGAAGAAACGATATTGGAGCAGAGATCGGAAAATGAGAGCTTGGTGATAATGGCATAAACATTTATTTGGTTACTTTTGATTTTGAAGATCTTTTTGAAATAATCTTTCCTGTTGCAGATGTTATTGATCTGCAACTGCAAGGTACATTACCCTTAAAGGCACCAAGGCAAGGGCTAAGTTTACCCTATGGATACAGAACCCAGGAAAGCAGGTGTCTATGGACTAAGGTTCTCTGAACCTAGTGAGGCAAGGCTGGTTTCCATCAGCGGCCACAGCAGCCTCTAACGCTTTCCTCTCATTCTGATGAGTGCATACACTAAACGTTAGAGAACTGGGGGAATGGTGCCCAAGGATGAGGGCTGGAATGGGAAAACAAACCCATTACAACCCCGCCTGCGTTTTCTCAGACCCTAAAGTCTGATGAACAATAAAAGTATTCTTACAGATACACCTCGTACCAGGGCCCACTTCAGATTAAGAAACTTTCCGCCAGGCGCAGTGACTCATGGCTGTAATCCCAGCACTTTGGGAGGCCGAGGTGGATGGATCACTTGAAGCCAGGAGTTCCAGACCAGCCTGGGCAACACGGCAAAACCCGATCTCTACTAAAACAATAAACTAGCCAGATGCGGTGGTGTGCGCCTGTAGACCCAGCTACTCAGGAGGCGGAAGCATGAGAATCGCCAGAAGCCGGGGGCAGAGGCAGCAGTCAGCTGAGATCACAGCATTGCACTCCAGCCTGGGCAACAGAGCGAGGCTCTGTATAAAAAACAAACAAAGCTTCCCAGACCCTAGACCCTAAAGATTAGATAAGATGGAATGAAACAGATCTGCTGGTAAGGTGTGCACTCCCACACGTAAGCACAGAGCTTAGAACGTACATAAGCACTGGAGAAAAACTTGTCATTTTCAGTTGGTCTGGTGAGTTACTCTGACCTTCTCCCTGTAACCGGTTGCAGAAATAAACTTCTTTCTCAGTCTGTCTGCATCTCCTCATTGGACCACGAGAACAAGCAGGTGGACCTTTTTCATTCGGAAACCCTAGGATCACCCCCGCCACAACACCCCCCTCACCCACCCCCCGCCATCTCCCTATTTACAAAATGGAGCGTTGAGCTAGATCAGAGTTTCCAAATTCAGACACCTTCAGGGGGCAGGCAGATAATATAAGCGTGTGAAGCTGCCAGCCGAGAGACAATAGGGAGGGGTGGCAACTGCGGCAGCAGGGACAGAGCCTTCTGGGCTC